CTAATATTACTACTTCACTACTACTACTACTACCACTACTCTAGTGCCACTACTACTACTACTTTTACTACTCCATTACGACTAATATTACTACTACTGCTACTACTATTACCCCTGTTACTACTTCTACTACTATTACTGTAGTACTACTAATATCAATACTTCATTACTACTTCTAGTAGTGGTACTTTTACTCCTATATTTACTACTCCATTACTACTAATATTAATACTACTATTACTATTACCATTGTTACTACTACTACTATTACTATTACCATTGTTACTACTACTATTACTATTACCATTGTTACTACTACTACTATTACTCAACATTGTTACTACTAATATTACTACTATTACTATTACTACTACTGCTGCTACTATTATTACTGTGAGTACTACCACTACTACCACTCCTGATGCTGCTACTACAAATTAAAATATCAGCACATCAAAACTCACTCCAACAGGAAACATAAACAAATTGTTAAGGAGTACATATGTATACTGATTATATAGTGTTTCATGCATTTTGATGGGTATTGGCTTAAATTAATTTTGTTCTTGATAACACTTCATAAAATATCAGGCATTTTGAGAGCCGTAACTTGCACTTGCAAATGGTTTTAGAATACTACGTCAAAAAAAGACGAACACTTTCACATGAAATTGTTGGTGGATTCTAAAATAGCATTCAAGAGAACTGCTAATACGTTTTAAGTTAATATGTAAACAATCCTTCTTTGTCTTGGCCACACTTGACTTTGCCATTAGCCCATTAAACTAGTCACTCAAAGAGCTGTCTACAACAGGTAAGATATCTGTTTATAACTTTTTCACAGAACCTCATTTCATAACATGTAAATTATCACTTTAATCCCAGCATATATAATTTAATGCTTAAATGGTAAATAGACTGTACTTATATAGCTCCTTTCTATCTAATCAAGACACTCAAAGCTCTTTACACCACAATCTGTGCCCTCATTTACCCATTCATACAGCACTCTACTAGACCTATACAAAGACTAATCAGAGCTTTATCTCATTCATACACTGATGGGACACACATCAGAGGCAATGAGGGGTTCAGTGTCTTGCCCAGGGACACTTCAGCATGTGACTGCTGGTGGATTCGAACCCCCAACTCTTGCATTGAAGGACAACTGCTCTAACCACTCAGCCACAGCCGCTTAAAGCAACTTTTTATCCTCTCAGTGTCAACCATGTTTTTAGTTGTCGGGTCACTTTTTATTCTTTAGCTAATTCAGTCACTATTAATCTGAGATCAGCTGTATTTGCAGAACTGTTTTCTACTAGCTGAAAATGGATTTGAGGATTGCGTTTAAAACACACACATACACACACACACACACACACACACACTCAAACAGTGGCGTTTTGTTTTAAACACAGCGAGAAATCAGATTAATTTGTCTCTCGCTCAGGGAAACAAATGGTAGTTTTGTAAAAAGCCTTTTTCGGGGCCACCTGAAACAAGCAACCTGACAAGTTGAATTATGGTGTTAATATTGAAATATTTGTCAACATTAACCTTTATCTCGGAGACAAATTTGCAGCTTGTGTTCGAGCGTTCACAGTGTTAGGTATCACGTCTTTGTTTGGAAAGTCCTTTATTGAGACTGATTGCCTTGTTTAATCACGGCCGCTGCCACAACTCACTGAGTGTGGGCAGATTAAATGGAAGAAAATCACTCACTGGCTACTTAGAAATTTGTCTGGAGTACAACTTTTTTTTTTGTTGTTGTTGTTGAATTTCTTAGATTTTTGTATAAAAAAATTAACAACTGTAATCAAGCACCGATGGAGTGTAATGTTGTTCTTGTGTATTCTTCACTGTGTTTTGTCCCTGACCTCCTCTTTTATTCATTTATTTTCTTTTGCAAACAGGTAGCTCACCTGGAGCGCACAGGGCATTACCTGACAGTGAAGGACAACCAAGTGGTCCAGCTGCACCCCTCCACTGTGCTGGACCACAAACCTGAGTGGGTGCTCTACAACGAGTTTGTGCTCACCACCAAGAACTACATCAGAACGTGCACCGACGTCAAACCGGAGTGGTACGTTTGAAAGATGAGCAACTGATGAATGTATAACTAAAGTCAGAGCAGATAACTTTTATTTAAATAAAGATTTAAAGGTACCATAAAGATTTAAAGGTACTCCTATGGATTTTTTAAAGGTTGTTTAAGTTAACTTTTTTCTACAAATTTGAGAATCTAAAGCCATATACATACCGCTATTTCCAGACTATTGAACACACGCATAAGCCACACCCACTAAATAAAATAAAAAAAAGTAAATATATAGTCCACACTTGTCTATAAGCCGCATGTGTCCTAGTTGTAACGAGTTATTTACACAGAAGCTTTTGGAAACTTTTAATTAAATGCTGTAGCGTGGCAGCATACAGTTACTGACAGTGATGTGCAGCTCTTGTTGTAGATCAATAATCAACCACCAGATGGCGTCTTATAGACTTTATTTTACTGTTCACAGACAGAGTGAACCCTACAGGTCTTCATGACTCATGGTTACTGTACTGAATGGCCTAACTCAAACTAACACATAATGAACAAATGTTAGGCTAACAAGAACAGACACACAACGGCAAGCCGGCCGTAGTTGGCTTGTAGCTTCGCTACTTAGCCCTTGAAGAAAAGACTTTAACGTCGCTTGCGCACAGTTTTCAACAAAAAAAAAAACGATTAAATCTGACAACTTTGATTTTACTTCAGACACAGCATTACTGCGGTTAGCCGGTAGAAGACAGATCTATATCGTAGGCTAAATTTCTATCGTTTCTACCGTATACCGTATATATCGCGCATTCCTAATATATATATATATATATATATATATATATATATATATATATATACTGAAATAAACTAGTACTTACTACTTATACTACTATTCCTACTTCGCAGTTTTTCACTTATCGCGGTTCTTCAGGGAACGGATCCCCTGCGATAAACGAGGGACTACTGTAATGGTCAGGGGATTCAAACCGGCCACCTTCTGATCACAGGCTCGCCTTTTCTAACCTCTTTGCCTGCGCTCCTGAAACAGGTTTGAGACACCTGCAACAACTCTGTGACTATTTGGAGAGAAAAGTAGATGACTTGGGCTAGTGCAAAACCCTCCTTTGAACGTTTTGAGACAAATTAAGAGATTCTGTCATGAAAGCAGTTTGCTGAGTCGTCATCTGGTGAGATCCAGCTTTAGTTACGATGCGTTTACCGATGGGGAAAAATATCTGATGTTTGAGCGTTTGATCGTCTGGTCGTCGTTCAGGCTGAAAAATCAGCCGATATAGGTCACCAACCAATCAACTGGTGCATCCGTAATACCTTCCAGAACTTAAAGACGGCCGCCACATCAGCGAAGGTGCAATCAGCAGCTCCTCCAGCCTCATTCCTCCTTCCCCCCCCCTCGGTGACCTCGTACAATTACGTACCAAATTTGTCGTGCTTGCTCCGGTAGTCACCCCGTGAATATGGAAGAGCGGATTTCTCCCACAAGTAAACACCGTAGACAATTTTGTGACTGTTTACTCGCTATTTTCTTTCCTAGGCTGGCGAAAATTGCCCCGCAGTACTACGAGATGAGCAACTTCCCCCAGTGCGAGGCCAAGAGACAGTTGGAGCGTATTATTGCAAAACTCTCGTCCAAGGAATACACGCAGTACTGACACGGTCTGCGTGGGCTGCAGCTGCTTCCTTGGCATCTCTACAAAGTTAAATCTCAACTTTTGATTTTGGTCTCGGATGCATTTTATTTTACAATTGATGTTTTTTTTGTTTAATTGTGTTTTTACTCTAAAACATACAACCAGAAGTTACTGGTTTTCATTGTTTTAGTGACGCCTCATAGGGTTAAACACTTGCTGTACTCCAGATGGAGTCAAACAACGTTCATCTCCGGAGAGTTGCTTTGGTTTGAATGGAATTTGTACAGGATTTTGATGTCGACTAATGTAATAGATGCTAAGATTGTCACATTTCCTGTCAGCTGTTCAAACAAATAAAAGATGACTTTGTAAGAACTGTCCTCTGTCAACATCAAAGCATTTTCTGCGCTCAAACTAAACCCTCCTCACACGCAGAAGCATTCCGACCTGCAGCTCGTTTTCCGCAACTCTTTGGGGAGGTTGAATCTCCTCACTGGGATGGTGATGGGCTGAGAAACAGTTGGGGTTTGGCGGCAATGGGGAGGATGTTAATTACAAATGTTTCAGTGTGGAAGCCCCGCTGTGCTGCTTGGTGGCCGTGAGTTTCTCAAGTCCTCCAGTGGGGATAAAGTGACAAGCAGAATCTGAATGTTTGCTCCGTTACATCACAGTGAAACCGCTGCTGTTCGACCAAACTAGTATGAATTATTAAGGAGCCAGTAAAACAAAAAAAGTGATCTACGTAAACCCAAGGGAGTTCTTCTTCTTATTCTGTGCTCCGGCAGCTTAAAGGAGCTGATCTCTTACACCTTGGGGTCCTGCCGAGTCTTTTCCCAAACTCTGTACCTTAAGTTTGACAGAAAACGTTCAAACCTTTGGAAATATGTTAGAAGTACGTCAGTTTACATGACCATAATCCTAGCTGTTTTTAGTTAGTTGAAGCAGTTTCGGAATTGATTACAACTAAGGGTGCACCTATTTCCTTAATTTTGGGAGATCGGCTGATACTTGCATGACAAACCAATTTAACAATTTATTTTTTTTGTAGTTTTAACAATTGTCTAAACGTTTATATTTCAGAGCACTACCTCATGGCCAGTTACAAGAAGTCTGTATTGTTTCTAGGATATTGTTCAAGGGTATGTTGTTCAATAAAACAAGATTGGAAAATTGAAGGTGCATTGTGACCTTATAACACCCGACAGTGTCGCTTATAAAACGAAATCGATATCGGCCAAAATCGTAATCGGCAGGAAACACTTTTTGTGGACTGCCATGCAAATGCGTGGCGACCGGCTCGGCCCCGTGATGTGTGCTAATACTTTTATTGACATTTCGAGTTACCATGGCAAAGTAATTTGCAAACAAAGACGCAATATTTCACCAACTCCAGGAACTAGTTGGTGACTGCCCACTTATTATTCTACACCTGAAAAGCGTACCATTTTCAACTTTAATGCGGCCCGAACCGCAAAGTGGACCCCCACAAAAGTTATATCCAAATGACCGGCCTGGCACCGAGATGTGTGCTATTACTTTTATTGGCAATTGGCGTTACCATGGCAACATATTTTGCTAACGAAAATGACAAATTTCCCATAGGAAATGAATAGGAGAAAACTTTTCAAAGAAACTGATTAATGTTGGGAGCCATTTTGGTTCAACATGCATGGAAGGCACCTATTATCACCTATTCTTATAATTAATTAGTAAACAAAATAATTAACATAAATTACTAATGATTCATTTTAATAATTACAAATGATAACATGAATAATTACTAATATTAATAATTCATATCTAATATTAATATTGTTATCAAATATATTAATATTTTACAATAATAAATTGACAATATATTAATATTATTAATGATTAATATTAATAATTAATAATAATTTATTAATAAATAGGCAGTCCCCATCAAAGTTTCTCCAGGAACTTTCTAGTTAGAAATTGTTGATCGGCCAGAAAACTGCAATCGGTGCACCCCTAGTTACAACAAGTTACTGACAGATGACACGGTGCACATCGTAACATGTTCCCCTTTGCTTCGTGAATTTTAAAGGAACGTCCACGTTACTGAACTCTGTACGATGGCAGAAATGAACAAGTAAGCATTTGCAGAGTCTGTAATGTCTGGATGGAGGCAGGAGGAGATATCAGACCTGCTAAGGGACTTTTAAATTAAAGCCTGCAGATTCTGTAATGTGCTACGTCAGGAAATAAACATGTGCGCCTCAATATTTTCGGACTGTTGGGAGGCGGGTTGTTAAGTGCTCGGGAACACATGCAGAACCTACAAGCCGGTGCTGGACCAGACCAGTTTTCCTCCAAACGTTAAGCCAATAGAAAAGCCATTAGGCTGAGCTAAACTGGAAATTATCTGGGATTGATCCTGAGGTAAGAACAATTTTTCATACTCAATACTTCCGATTGATTCCTGCTGCCATAATTACAAATGAAAATCATTATGTTTCTAAGTTTTTTTTTTTGTCTTATTTCCTGCCTGTAGACCTTACTGTATGTGCTGAAGCTTGAGCATCCTTGTTTGTGCCAAATAAAACTTAAAATTTGACATGATGTCAACATGGTTTGGATTTTGTTTCTTCAAAGCAACAGTACACAGAAAACATTTCAACCAGAACTCTCTTTATATTTATATATATAAGTATTTCTATGTGACAGAGAACCTGAGATGCATTTCGTAGTTGATCATTTACAGAATGTTACGTTTTCAGCCATAGGAACCACCATATTGCTCCTAAAATACTGTTGTACATCGGTCAAACTGTTGGGTATTTAAAAAACAGGCTGCACTGATTTTCTAATTCCATAAATGCATATTTTATTTACAGTGAGTGAACACAAATGTTTAAACTAAGAAACTAATTTATTTGAAAAAATAAGGTCATATGGGATTTTATCCTAGCAACATATAAATATATAAAATATGAGGGAGCACCAAGTTTCCTGCAGTGAAGCCCCCTTCTTCATTTAACAACAGTCTGTAAATGTCTACAAACTGGGGAGAGCAGCTTGTGGAGGCGATTGTTGTCCCATTCTGGTCTGGTGAAGGATTCTAGCTGTTTTAAAGTCATGGCTATTCTCTGCCAGACTTCTTTTTGTTTCATAATAAATCAAATGTTTTTGATCGGTGAGAGGTCTGGACTGCAGGCAGGTTAATTCAGCTCCCGGACTCTTCAACTTCCGAGCCATGCTGTCTTAATCGATGCAGTTTTAATGAGTCTTGCTAAAATACGCAAGGCCTTTTCCAATAAAGAACACCTTGTTTGGAAGTACATTGTTCTAAACCTTGTATATCAAAATGTTTTCTGCATTGATGATGCCTTTTCAGATGTGTAAGTTTCTCATGCCATGGTCACTAATGCACCCCTATACCATCAGAGAGGTAGACTTTTAAACAGTGCGCTGATATCAGGCTGTGTAGTCCCTCTCTTTACTACAGCGAACATGGTATTTGAGTTTTCTAAAATAAATTTTAAATTTCACTTTGTTTAACCACAAACGGTTGAAAGCTGTTCACATATGGCTTTTTTTTTTGTAAGGTAGAGCTATAACCAGCGTGCATAAATGACATATTGAACTGTGTATACAGATATTTGTGGAAGATTTCCTGAGCCCGTGCAGTGATGTTCAGGACAGAATCAGACCTGTTTTTAAAGCAGTGCCCCCAGAGGACCCAAAGATCTCAGGTTTCCAGTATTGACTTTCAGTCTTGTCCTAAGAGCACAGACATCTCTCACTATTATAAATAAACAAACACTATCTCGGCTCCAATCGAGCCTGTTTTTCAATAAAATATTTAGATTTTAGATTTAATGGACATTGCAAGAAAAAGATCATCCCTACAACCAAAACAATCACACACTGCTAGTGTGTGTAAGTATCAAAACGTAAAAATGCAAATTTAATTGCCCAACAATGTTCAGTCAGGTCATGTGGATGAGTTTTTTTTTTTTTTTTTTTTGCTGAGACGTTTTGTCCTTCATCCAAAGGACTTCATCAGTCTGGGAATGTGCTGTTTGTGGGACTCAATTTGTTTGTGGCTCCTCTGACTGAAGAAGTCCTTTGGATGAAGGACGAAACGTCTCGGCAAAAAAAGAAACCATCCAGATGACCTGACTGAACATTGTTGGATTTTTACCTGGATTACTGAGCATGAACTATGATGTTTTGAACCACTTTGGCATGGCTGCCTCAGAGGAGTCGACGGGGGAGAGGGCGGTCCCCAGAAACCATCTTATGACCAGCAAACTGTTTTTTCCCACTGCGGGAGTGTGCTGCTTGTGGGATTCTGTTTGTGGCTCCTCAGGCTAATGAAGTCCTTTGGATGAAGGACGAAACATCTCGGCAAAAAGATGAAACCGTCCAGATGACCTGACTGAACGTTGTTGGATTTGTATCAGGATTATTGAACATGAACTTTGATGCTTTGAACAAATTTAATTCTTTCGTTTTGTGAAGTTGTCTGTTCTGTGTCAGCACAGCGCTGCTTTATTACTAGAATTTATAGCTTTTTTGTTGTTGTTGTTGAATGAGTCAGAGGTCGAAGTCTCGTAACAAACAGCAGCAAACTTTTCTCTGAACAGGGTCAGGTTGCAAGAAAAATGAGAGAAAAAGACCCAAAGAAAAGAGGAATAACTTGAAACTGCTTTATGCTACTGTATGAAAAGCTGAACAAGATATTTGAAGCAAAGTTTGACGTGCTGATTGCTCTGGATCTTTGACCCCTGCATCTGTTACCCATCCACACTTCCATTCCTGGCTGTACATAGGTGACACTTTACATGGCTTCTTGACAGTAACTCACCCAAAAGCAGCAAACACAAACAAAAAGCCGGCAGGTAGTGCTCAGCGTCACTCCAAACAGTGTGAATCACCACCCATCTACTGCTCAATCTCCGGCACCACCCACGGAGTCGTGGATGGCGCCTCATCATCATTTGCGACTGTGGGGTAGAAAAGTTTATTGCACAACAACCTCAGCGTTTCTGGAAATCCACCCAC